ACTTGCACCCGGTGTGACTGGGGGTGGGAATCCAATGCACACTTGTGGGTCCATTGCCCTTGGCGGACGAAGTAGGTATGTGGTGGTCTTTCTTATGGTCAGGATTGCTGGGTCAAAGTTTCCCATGGTCAGACGACTGGATGCTATATGGCATTTTACCATCCAGTAAGTTAAATCTGTCGGATGGGTGGGGGTACGTGGCATTGGTCTGCCGAGGGGTTATAATGCAGGAGATTTGGCAAGCAAGAAATTGACTCAATATTCAGAGGAGAAAAGAGGGCGCTCCGCCAGCAACAGCAGGAGATCATATCAAATATCAGATTAATGATACGGTCGGACTGGAAAAAGAGTGGGGAACGCCAGGGTAGAGGTCGCCCCTGGTTTCTCAGAACATGGGGCCGTAACAGTGCATTTGCAGCAGTCTCAAATGAAGGAAAGCTGGTGGTCTCTGACTGGCTTAAACCTAAGTAGTCTGGTCGCCGTGCCAAATTAAGCTTAGGGTTTTAGACCAAATGACAGGGTAACGCCAGGTCAGTGGTGGGAATAGAGGGCAGTGTGGTAGAAGAGATATTATCTTGGTTAAGAGGGAATCCTTCTGTATGATCAAATCCCTGAGGATTGAAATGAGAGTTTTTCATATACGAGGCTTGAAGGAGGTATATTTTGTTAGCTGTGCGTGTTGGTTGCAGGCCAGCCGCAGGCACATCTGGCACTCAGAATGCACGAGCTTTGCATCAATAGCTCACCTTTTTAAATTGTGCGGTCAAGGTTTACTTTTTCGAAAAGCTCTTAGGATGGGACGCTGGACCCGATTTCCAGCAGGTAGTCTCAGTCTTTTGAAGTTGTTAAATTTGGTCTGTTGAGCTGAGATCATAAGCGAAACTGGCTGAGGCTGCCAGGATAACTCCGGGTAGAATTGTGAGGTCCCCAGCCTCGTCCCATTGAATTTTTGCAATAAATGTTTCAAGCTTTTCAAAAAAAATATAAAAAAAATAAATATTCGCACCTTCCTTTTTTTTCTTCTAATAACTTTCAATTAAACCACCAGTACTGGGCCCGGTTCCCAGCACGAGCTGCTCCCCACGAATAGATTGGAGTTTTTGTCCCAAAAAAAAAAAAAAAAAAAAACAAACAGTACTTGGCCCAGCTATCGGCCCCTGAAAAAAAGAGAGTAGAAACGTTTCTAGTTGGATGAATCTGGGCGCTCCTGTGGTGGCCCGTACATTTCCTTCCTAAAATAGTGGCGCTTTAAGACTCTAGCAAGTACTGCAGTGGTTTAAACCACCACTACGTTTCCAAGATGTGGTCCCTTATCAGGACAGCGGTCTGGTTTTAGCCATTTCTATCGCTGGATTTCTCACCCCGACACCTAGGCCGAAGTCCCACTAGCAAAAAGGATAGGACCGAGCTCCTGAATCTGGATGTGTTTTAAGCAGAGATGCAAAAAAGCAGTTCAATTTCCATAAAATCGTCCAGATTCAGGCATTCGATCCGATCCTCTTTGCTAGTGGGACCACACCCCTATTCCCTGTGCTGGGTAAAGGTCCCAGAAAAGTCTGTTTTCTCCTTCCCGGTTGTTTGTTGAGGTTTTCCCGGGGCAAGGTCCCACTTGCGCAAATTAGGAGATTTGGGCCGTTGATCTTTGTTATCTACGGTCAGTATCTCTTAATTCGTGCGAGTGGGACCTAGCCCCCGGCCTCTCTTTTTGGTGTGCGTAATCAAAGGAGCTGAGTTTTCTTCTATAAAAAAAAAAAAAAAACAAAAAGCTGTAGTCTCATTCGGGAAAATGACGTCGAGCGCACAGTTCGGTGTTCCGGACAAGGGTTGGCAAAAACAAAACATTTCGGCCTTGTGGGCCGGACCGGAGAACAGATCAGAAAAGGAAAAAAAAAAAAAAAAAAAAACTGCAGAGTTGAAAGGAAGGACGTCCGGGAAAGCCCCATGAAGGAAAGTGTGTTCACAGCAGTTGCTCCAAGAATGTATCTACCCAGAATCATGGACAGTTTTCTTCTTTTGTTTTTTGTGCTTTTTATTTTGAACTACCAAGTTCGTTTTTGTGCCCTGGGGCCAAGTCCCACTAGCAGCGTTGAGCTACTACCTCAACGCCTGAATCTGGACGTGTTTGCGGAGAGGTGCAGTTCAGGAAACTCAACACCATTTCTGCACATCTCCGCAAAAGCGTCCAGATTCGGGCGTTGAGGTAGTAGCTCAACGCTGCTAGTGGGACTTGGCCCCTGCTACCCTTCTTACTCCTTCCCCTTTTTTCTGCTACCCTTCTTAGTTATACCCCTCTTTCTGCTACCCTTCTTAGTTATACCTCCCCCTCTTTCCCCCACCCTTCATAATGCCTACTCCCTTCACTGCAACCAAACAAGAGACGTTTCTGCTTCTTTTCCTTAATTCTACCCCTCATTCTGCTACTCTTCTTATTTCTACCCGTTTTTCTGCTACCCTTTTTAGTTCTTCCCCTCTCCCCCCCTCTTCCCCTCCCCCCCCCTTCATACTGCCCACCCCCTTCACTGCAACCAAACAAGAGACGTTTCTGCTACCCTCCTTAATTCTACCCCTACCCTTCTTAATTCTACCCCCCTCTTTCTGCTACCCTTCTTCGTTTTACCCCTCTTTCTGCTCTCCTTCTTAGATCTACCCCCCCCCCCCCCCCCCCCCCCCCCCCCCCGGCTCTTCGTAATCCCTACTCCTTTCACTGCAACCCTTCTTCAATATCCTCCCTCCAACTATGTTCTCCTTCACCAAGCCCTCACCTAACCTACCTTTGCCTCCCTCTACTTTGGTCGTCTTTCAACTGAGCCCTTCCTGGGCAAACTTGCCCCCCGCCGTTCTCTATCAACTTCAGACTTGCGATTGGCCCTCAAGTTTGCGCACTATATCCAAAAGCAGGGGTCGACGGACCCCTGCAAATTGTGCAAAAGGCGTCCCTCGACCCCCTTCCTTTGCCATCGTCCATAACTTGCACACGGCACCTGATGCTTGCACAGCTTGTGTGCCCAAGGCAGAAATACAATGTCACATAAACATAGACTACCTTTATATATTATACATAGACTACCTTTATATATTATACATAGACTACCTTCTTCCCCCGAATACAACGTGCGGTCATTATAGCTGTATTTGAGGCATCTTTCAGACTAGATACAGCTATAGTGACCGTACGTTGTATTCGGGGGAAGAAGGTAGTCAGCCACTTCTCTTCTGTCCACAAACCATTCCGATTTCCCTTCAACTCTTTCCCCGCCCCCCGCCCTGTCCCCCCCATAATCTCTCTCTCTCTCTCTCTCTTCTCCAATCCTTTCATCACGTACGTCCATCTCTCCATCTGAGTCCGTTGAGATTTGAAATCGTCCGTTAAGATTTGGAATCGTCCGTTAAGATTTGAAATCGTTCGTTAAAATTTGGAATCATCCGTTAAGATTTGAAATCATCCGTTAAGATTTGTCCGTTGCAATTTGAAATCATCCGTTAAGATTTGAAATCATCCGTTAAGATTTGTC